AGCCAAGATCGCACCACTGTACTCCAGCCTGGGGCAACAGAACGAAATTCTGTCTCAAAAAAAAAAAGATACCAAACTTTCAAGACTCAAGAATGACATTCTATTCCTCCATAAATATATATACCCACTACGTACATACCCACACAAATTAAAAATTAAAAAAAATTTTTTTAAATTACAATTTTCCTACAAAGTGCTAACTCAGGTACTTTGAATTAATTACCTTTTCATTTTCAGCGGTTAGCTTCTTGTTTTCATCAAATAGCATTGCTCTTTCTCGTTCGTATTTATCTTTTATTGTACCTACCGCCTCCTCCATCTCGTTATGCCTGCCAAGGTGAGTGAGAAACAGTTTTAAAAGCTCGTAACTTCGCTAATGTTCATTATCTATGGCATAGGTATCAGCTCCCATCTTCTCAACTGAGGAGCCATGAACACCTACCGTTCTCGCCTTGACTTTTCTAACTTATCTGTTAACATCAAGATTTCTTTCTGCAGAGCCAGCTGGTGGCTTTCTGAGTCATGCACCTCCTTCTTCACATTTTTCACTTCGAGCACATGGCAGGCCTCACGTCTGACCAATTCCTCTTCATAAAATAAGACTTTCTTCTCCAGCTCGGATTTGATTTTGGAAATCTCCTGCTGGTGCTCTAAAGTGGCACCTGCTCCCCGGCCTCCTTGCTTCATCTGAAGACAAAGGTTAACATAAGTTGACGAACCTCTGTGTCCTCAAGGGTCACATTGTCCTTTCATCCCCTTTCATCCCCAGCAAGTGCAGACACCTTCCCAAGGACCGTGTATGCCTGGACTACACCAGATGATGTAGCTGACCTGGCTAACGTGATCCAGATTCTAGGGGGTCACAGCAGGAGACAGCCTTGCAGGGGGATGTGCCCGGGTCTGCCTGGGACCCTGAAGCTCTGCCCCACACCCTGTTCATTCAGGCCTGCAGCATTCTTCTGAGGGCTGACTCTGTGCTAGGCCCCTCCTTGTGACTGCGGTGACACTGAGGTCTCTGCTCTCACGTGGTTGGCCGGAACTGACAGCAAACCAGTAAACGGGCGGAGGGGCTCTGCACCCCAGCCGGGTTGTAGGGAGCGGAAGGTGTGCCGGGATGGCTGGGGCAGCATCTGTAAGGTGCTGGCCTATTAAGTGAGGTGTCAGGCTAGGGGCAAAGAACAAGGGCACAGGCCGGAGTGAGGTGGGACGTGCTGGCAG